TAGTTTAGTCATAGTAGCTATAAGGTATAAGGACCCGATAGATGGCCTTAATCACTCTGACCTTATAGATGAAGTTGTTAGCCACTCCGAAGCATCCGGAACACCGTACCTGTTAATGGACAGTGCCCAGACTTATAGGTGGCAGGAAGCTAGCATTCCTATTCAACCTGTATACGGAGTAGGCGACATTTCCTACTATGGCAACGACAATGGCATTATGGACATATTTGATGGTTGGACCACAAATAGCTATCCCTATATGGCGCCATTGAGTTTTGACAATGTGTTTTCCGTAGATTTCGTTGTGTGGCTTCGGCAAATAGCAGAACACCAAGTAGCTACTGCACTTGTTTCCCAAGAAGCCTTCCCGGCTCTTGAGGCCGACGAAGAACCCTTCGATCAGGTGGAAGAACCGCGCGATTTCGCTTTGATGGACCCCTCCGAGGAGGCCATCGAGGAAGAAACTCGCCTCGACAACGTCGATTTGCGAGGATTACCCGTAGAGGAATCCGAGCGTCGCGCGAAATGGCGAGCGGTGCCACAGCGGATACGCATAGCGATCCGACGGCTACATCGCCAATTCGGCCATTGCCCTAAGAAGGTTCTAGTTAATCTCTTAAGGACCGCTAGAATCGATAAGTCGTATATAGAGGCGGCTCAATTTCATAGGTGCAATGAGTGCGAAGACGCACAGCCTCGTAGAAACGCACACACCGTATCCATGCCGGAACGGTATTCCTTTAATCACGCCCTAGGTATTGATATCTTTGAATGCTTAGATGCACAAGGCACTAAGTACCAAGTTATGAATATGGTGTGTTTAGGAACGTGTTTTCAGCTTGCAGAGACCGTACGCGTAGGCGACGGGTTGCCTTCATCAGCCCGGTGTCTAGAGGCCATCCAACGCCGTTGGACAGCATGGGCTGGTATGCCGGCGATTATACGGTGCGACCGTGGTCTACATAATCGCGGGGTACTAGCGCAGTTCTGCGCGGCTCATGGCATCCAAGTACACCACGCGCCATTAGAAACACCCGAGTCGATTGGCCGAGTGGAACGCCACGGCGGGATCCTGAAAGCGATGACTAGAAAGGTAGTATCGCAAACACAGGCCGTAGGCGAAGTGGCATTACAGACAGTCTTGGATGAGTGTTGCCTCACCAAGAATAGCATGCTGAGACATGGAGGTTACTCCCCATCTCAGTGGGTACTCGGGAAGACGCCGCGGGGACCTCCATCCTTAGTAGAGGAGGATAACACCGCCGACCTTGGATCGTTAAACGACCAAGTTGATCCCGAGAGCCGTTTTGCCCTAATCCATCAAGCTCGGGCTGAGGCCAAGAAGGCTTTTGTCCATTTGGACACCTCGAAACGCGTGCAGCGTGCACTTCTCAGGAATGCGAAACCGCTGCCGTACACGTACTCGGTAGGAGACGTGGTTTGCTTTAGGCGGGATAAAACAGGTAAAACTGTTTGGTCTACCGCGTCTAGAGTAATCGGTTTTGAGGGTAGCCAGAACGAGAGCGTGTGGGTTTTGTGTCAGAACGTACCGGTTCTAGTGTCCGCACAGAATCTTAGGCCTGCGCAAGATGCCGAGGCACTTGCACACGCAGTTCTCCAAGGGGAACCCGTGCTGCCAGAAGAACTGGTGCGCGGACAGCAACACTTCGAGGATCTCAGAGATGCACCTGGTGGTGACATCGATGATGAGGAGCCCGAAGAAGGACCTTCGGAAGGTACACCTCAAGAGGAAGTCGAAGAACCATCCTATGGTCTTCTGGACGGCCCAGGACCACTCTCATCAATCTTCGAGGATGAGGAGATGAATGAGCAACCAGAGCGACCGGAGAGAGGTAGATCTAGATCACCTCCACCAGCGTCATCTTCGAGATCCCGACGGGTCAGTACAGCTGAACCCGAGGCAGAAAGAACCCCTAATCCTAGCAGGAGAGGAAGCAGATCAGACCTCCTGGACGATCTGCCGGCTCCTATTAGGTCACGTTTTGAGGAACGTAGACACGAGGAGGAAGCAAACGTGAGTATTCGACAGAAACTCCGTGGCTTTTGGTCTAACCGGTTCTCTTCCAGAGAACAGGTTGAGCAGGAGCTCAAGGACCTCCCCGAGGCCTTGAAATACTGGGAATGCACCCCAGCAGTCCGCCTGCGGATCGATGGATCACGCGCTAAGGAATGGAAGAAATATGAGGATTTTCAAGCGGCAATTCCGCTGAAAGGAGCGCAGCTTAAGGAACTATTAGACGCCGGTCATACGCCGATACCATCTAAATGGGTCGACACTATTAAGAACTATCATGAACGTCTTAAGCCGGATTATGAACCTGAGTTCAAATCCAGACTGGTGTCCTGTGGAAATTTTGAAGATTCCACAGAGGTTCGCACGGACGCGCCAACCTCAGACCTCGAAACGCATGGCCTAGTATCAGCGTTCGCCGCATCCAATGGAGTCCCTGTAGAATCGTCAGATATTCGCAACGCCTACTTTCAGGCCGAGCCAATAGACAGGGTTGTACTTATGAGACAACCTGGCGGAGGACTTCCAGGAGTAGATCCGGAAGCGATGCTCCTGATCAGAGTACCGGTATACGGACTCTGCGATAGCGGCAGAGGATTTTGGAGGAAAGTCGACCGAGAAGCACGTGAAGTCGGCTTCCAGGTAAGCAGGATTTTCCCTGCATTTTACTTTTACCGCGCCGCCGGAAAAGTAGTCTGTGTCTTGACAACACATGTCGATGACTTTTTATGGGCATCGATAGGCAAGGGCGGAACTATCATAGATAAGCTCCTAAAGAAGTTCGAAGTACGCCGCCGCGAGTCGGGAAGACTACGCTTCTGCGGTAAGCAATTCGACATATCTGGAAAGGACGTGTTAATCGACGTTACCGATAACACGAACAAGATCACCTACATTGATGTCAAGGCAGGAAGGAAACACTCGGATCTTATTGACCGAGGTGAAGAACGTCAACTACGTTCTGTAGTCGGCAGCCTTTCGTGGATTTCTAGGCAGGCTAGGCCAGATATTCTATACCGCGTATCGAAGCTTCAGAGCTCGATAAAAGGTGCAACTGTTAGCACTCTTCATGAGGCTAACAAAGTCCTAGAACTTGCCTTAAAGGGTCGCGACCTTAAGCTAAGATACAAAAATGGTGCCTTTGATTTCGAGAGCCTGGGCGTACTGACAGCCTCAGACGCTAGCTTTGCGGGTGAAAAGGGAGACCGATCACAACAAGGACGGATCCATTTTCTCGCTCCAGCTGCCCAGCTTCGCGATCCAAATTGTAGTCGTTACGACACAATGATCGTGTCGTTCTCATCCACCACAATCAAAAGAGTATGCAGAGCAACTCTTCAGGCTGAGACTTACGCACTCCAAAGTGCCCAAGAGGCAGGGGATCGCATAAGAGCAGCCCTAGCCGAAATCTACGGATTCGGTAGTAGTGGTCCCGATTGGGAACTTCGTGCGAGAACACAGGTTCCGCACATAGCGCTGACGGACTGCCGCAGCTTAGCCGATCACCTCAACACGGAGGCTCCGTCCCGTGTGCAAGACAAACGATTGCAAATCGAGCTTAGCGCTCTTCGCCAGTCTATCTTTACAGAAGACGGCAAGCGCACGGTTGAGGCCTACCCTGCGGGTGGAGATAGAGTGGACTGGGTCGATACAGCCACTCAAGCCGCTGATTGTTTCACAAAGTCCATGAAACCGGATTTCATCATAAAGGTGATTGAATCTGGTGAGTACAGTATTAGTCGAGCTAAGCTGTAGACGTAGATTGCAGACGCTACAATCGTGGGCATACGTTGTATGTACCATAGTAGCTGAGTCGGTGCTAGGGTAGCATGCAGACACCACTTCCGGAGGACAATGCCTATTGTACCTCATGTGGTTAATTTAGATTTTCCTCGATGTCATGGCATGAGAACAGGTTGAGTGTGAATGCACCCTCTGTTGTACATGTACAGGAAGCCATGGCCATGACATGCATGTGTTAACTGTATATATTTCCCGCTGCCGTTAGGGCCCTTGAGTCATATTCAGATAGCTTCGCAGTCGGCGAAAAGATCCACCAGTTTTCTCAAACAGGGCTTTCTGCAGGATTGCATAGTTTGAATGCCTTGCTCTTTGCGAACTGAGCGACTTCCCTTGCATTGTCTATGCGACACAGAGCTTAGCCAATGCAGAGAGAAACGATTCAACAGATTGCATCAAATAGTCTCAGACATCAGGCGCTTGGCGCCAGATGCCTAAAGACCACGCAGCTGAAGAATCATTTTGCTTTGGACCCTTTTGTGCGTAGCCACGGCGCTCTGGGGCGCCTATTGCAGACTTCCTGGCTTGATGCCACCGATGCTTTGAAGCATCTATGGCTTGTCGCGAGACTATACTCTCATCCGCATCGGCTCTAAAAAGGTGTGCTGCATTTCGTGTTTTGCATTGGCGCCGTTCCGCCGGGACGAGCGCAAATCCTGGTCCGGATGGCGCATAAACGACTGAACGGCATACGATCTATGGCATCGTCGGCGCGAAACGAAATCTTGTGGGTTGTGAGCACCAGTCGGAAAAGGGCCGCTGCCACCAGGCGCCAACTGTGAAGCTGCAGAAGCTTCCAGCACATGATTTGCCGGGCTGTGCGGTCATCGGAAACCGATCCGCTCCGAAACAGAAGAGCTTGGAGTTCCCAAGGTGGCACTGCCAGGTCGCCCAGAGGTCTCACGAACCTCGAGGCCCAAGAATCCAAAAGCGCTGGCACCCTCTGGCACCGAAACGACAGAGCCAGGTGCCACAACACGCATCCCAACGAGCACTGTCATACACAGAACGGATTTAGCCTGCCCTTTGAGGCTCCTCACCTGGCCGCAATCACTGACGGAGGCCGGAGCGATCAGGGTCTGGGACGGATTGCGGTCCGTGAAATTAGCTTCACAACAAAAGTGAGTGAGCTAGCGATGAGAATCTTGATGGAGCAGGACACGAAGACATGAACGCCATGGAGATCCGGCGACGCGGTGTGCAGCATGTTGGTACGGATGGCCAGCCATTGGCATGGTATGTGTTCCGGCAGCATGTGGTTAATGCAGGTTGCCAATATAAAGTGTGGGTGTTGCAGCTGTTTACGGGTGGTCAACCGCAACGTTTGCTGTGCTTTAAATGGTCCAGGAATGGGTGTTCGCCAATCCTGGTGAGATCGACTCTCGGAAGCATCGGGTTGTTCCGACTTTCCTATTTGCAGCTTTCGACATGCAGGCCAAGTCTGGCTCTTTCGCTGGAGTGTTCATGTTCAGGGCATGGCACAGCATCGATGGTGAACGCTGAGGTCCGGAACAATGAGCCAGAGTTCGTGGTCACTGTGCCGCAGCACCTCACCTGGCATGGAGTGACACCTGCAAGTCTCTTTTCCTTTGCGATGTACTAGTACAAGCCCGATGCCAGTCGAAACTTTGCCGCTGGACCCGCCGGAGCGAAATCAACATGATGCATGAACGGCTCGTGCATGCGTCGTGACACATCGGTCAGGTTCGAGAAGAGGTTGGCTCCAACCCAAAGTTGTCATAATTTGCCCCCAGCAGTACGACAACATGTGGGACGTCTGCAGGGCAGGCTGGCGCAGCGGTTGGCAATTGGGCACCGTGCAAATCTTTGACAAGCACGTTTGAAACTGTTCCTTTTCGGCCCTGCTTTGCCGGTGTCTCCTGCTGATCTCGGGGTGTGTCCTGGTTATATCCGGTCGTTTCTTGGCTGTCTCCTGGTAGTCTCCTGATTCTCTCCTGGTGGTCTCTCCTGGTCGCAGTGCTCGGCGCAGATTGTGTTCTGGTGATGTATTGGTGTTCCTGGATGCTGTCTCGGTGGTCTTCTGACAGTTTTCTGGTGTTCTGGAGGTCTCCTGGCGCTCTTGTGGTGGTCTCTGGTTTGCTGACGTGTATTGGTGCACACTTGGCTCTCCTGGTGGTTTTCCTGTGTCTCTGGGTGGTGTCCTGGTCGTTGTGAAAAGCATCTGAAAACAAGGATTGGGACCTGTATGGTCCCAAGATGTCCCAAGCATACCCCGTCAAACTCCGGTGAGTGATGTTGATGCCCTGGGTGGTATGGGAAAAGACACATGGCAAGTCGTGACTTCTTGGTCCCGAGGGCACGCTTCTGGTATGACCTTACACGGTTTAAGGTTCTACGCTGGTTTTGTGGGACAGGCTGCCTTGCAAGTGCAAGCTCTGGATTCCAGGAAAAGATGTATTTCGTGAGGTTGAGTGTGAGCGAAAGTGTGAGCATGAGTGGGCCGCTCACACTCCGGATCCCACTCACACTCCCGCTCGTTTACAGCAAAGAAGTGTGAGCGGGAGTGTGAGCGGGGATGGGCCACTCGCACTCCCGCCACACTCCGGATCCAGATCGAACTCCCTCTCACACTCCTGCTCATACTATCGCTCACACTTCCGCTCACACTCCTGTTACTTCCGCTCACACTCAGAATCCCAGCTCACACTCAACCTCACACGTCCGCTCTCACACAAAACCCAGACAAAACCTCACACAAATAATCCTTTCAGACTATCCCAATGGTTGCAAGGACCGTGTCTCACCACGCTGGTTCAAAATCAGTGGCTCATTTTTGGTAAAGTGCCTTTCCTATAGCTGTCCGTATCTCACACCGACATTTCGCAGCCCGCACACGCTGCGGGCCCAAAGCTGCCTGCTCCTACCCTGACCTTCCCAATTCCATCCAACTCCTGACATCAGGGAAGCGTCGGCAGGGTTGATACAGGGAAGATCTAGGAAGAAGCATCGACACATATTAACCACTTAGTCACCGCCTTGGGTTGCCAACCTTCAGCCTGTGGGGCGATCGCATTCGCGCATTGCACTTGCACTGTTTCGCCACCTCATCCAGGATCTACGTAAATGTATACACCGACGAATTTGTTTGAATAAGGTTGTTGGCTTTCTCATAGAATTGTGGCTTTCGACGGGGTCGGACGGACGCAGGCGAACTTAAAGTTTGCCTAATTGAACCTGGGGTTGGTGAGATGTCCTGGCCGAATGCCTCCGTTCAAGACGTGTAATATCCCGAGATAACACGGGTGTGTTCAGTGTAATCATCGCGGCAGGGGAGTGTACCAATACTACGCATATCAGTCGGGAGAGATGAGGTATGGGTCGGTTTTTGTGTCGAGATCTGGGGGTACATTCTCAATCTTTACGGTTTCCACGTTGAGGTTTTGCTTGCCGTTGCCCTCATGTTGCATGTTTTCGGTTGCGGGCGGGTCGGGGCAATTATGCTTTGTCGGCATTCATTGGCGACATGGAAGTGGCAACGTCAATCGAAGCTTTGATGTGCCGAGATGTGGGGATACCTGTGCGGGAACATTTCATTCAGCATGAAAAAAACAGCGCCAACCATTGTGCAGAAGCGCTCGGTTTAATTACCCAGTACATTTACCGGTCGGTTCTTGAAGGTAGCGCGCTTGATTCCATTAGGCGCGGCATGCCCCAGCCGCAGTCGCAGCCACTCCCGCGACAGCTGGTCCAGGAGCCACCCGCGCCCAGCCCCATGCGAGCTTCGCGATGCGGAGGCAGACGGAAAGGCTCCGTGTTTCCGGATGTTTCCGGGTTGGTCGCAGACATGGCGGCTAGGATGCAGGAGGCCATCAGGAGGGGGGAGCTGACTGAACACCAAAGAGGTCATGGTGCTGGCAAATGATGCAGCTCGAAAGGGCTGCCGGCGCAGCTTCTCCGGCAACCGCCGAGGCCGTTTTCAACCTGCATTCAGCAGCGCTCCGGGTAGCGCAGGTGTACGGTTATGGTCGCACATGGACGGCCAGACGTTTTTAGCATGCATCGCACGCGAACTGCAAACGGCAGTGATGTATGTTGGGTTCCTATGGGGCCTGCCAATGCCTCCTTAGGCCAGCGACACTCCTGGGCCCAGCAAGTGGCTAATAATGTGATTGACTGTGGCATCCATGCGCCGCATTTGTCGGGAGTGTCGCCGGGCTGCAGCTGTCTGGAGACGTCGAAGCATGAGCACTGCCTTAGATCCGCATGCTGGTGATGCTCGTCGTGCCGAAATCGGGGCTGCGCCGTCGCATCGTATTTTCGCTGAATGTCATAAAAAATGTGATCCAAGGCTGGGCTGAGTGTCTGTCCAAGTGTTCATAACTCGCGGGCTTGCACCTCCATAGCGCGTGAGTGGACATTGGTTCGGTGTGGCCATCACCCATTCTTTGGTGGACGTTCTACCCCGTTGCTGTTTGGAGCCTCGTTCACGCTTCGCGTTTTTGTTCCCTTTTGTACTGTACCGTGGCGACGGGCGTGGACATACCGTTCCCGCTTGTCAGGGCTAAGAACCGTGGACATTGAGCATTTGCATGCGCTGTTTTCGCCGCAGCCCCTTTTGAGGCTTGCTGTCCGCCCAACATTCAATGTTGGAAGGCTTGAGTTTGTGATTTCATGTGGCATCGCATGGGTGTTTCTTTGCCACCGGCATAGCATTTCGTTTGCCGGGAACCACTTGGTTGGGACGCTTGGTCAACGTACAAAAGCCTAACACGTGGGAAACACGTCGGGTTGGGCGTCGCACGATTTTTTTTCACACACCTTTTTCCGGCTGCGCGAGTAGTCCGCAAGGGTAACTCGGAACATGCTACGCTACGGCAGCCGGTTCGGTACCGGCAATATCCGGCAATGAGCTTCTTCACCCCCAGCACGCATCAGCAAGGACGTGCAAGGCAGGCATGGGCCCCTCGCCGAGCTCGGCGGCAGGGGGAGTTCGAGGAGCGTGCTGCATAAGCTCGCTGTTTTGGAAAAAACAAAACACAGAAGTGATTCTCTGCCGGTTGCATCATCCCGCCGGTGGCTTGGCCCATGGATTTGGAGCCTCGCATCATTCACACACTCACGGAGTCACTCACATCCCCATCCACTCACTCATCCACGCCCTGGCTCACTCACTTCGCTCACATGCCCACTCATTCATTGACTCACTTCCTCACTCGTTCGATCTCGTTCGCCCAAAATCATTCACTCACTCGACTCACTCGCTCGCTTGCCATTCGATCACTGATACTCACGTAAACCCTGTTGAACTTGCGGGGTGCCAAATCGGAACCAGGTGGCAAGCTGTATCATACTGTATCCAGAATAATGTTGTGGTTAGTGGTTTTGGGAGCAGAGCCCAAGGTGACCACGTTCTTCGACAAACGGTCGATTCAAAAATGCACAACTTGTTCACCTGCCCGGCACGCTCCATGGATCTGACCGAACCCCACTCACGTGATAGTACCGAAGGTCCATCATATCTAGACATGCGGGTGCTGGAGTGTGTGGTGCTAACGAAACGGGTGTGGAAGGGAACCAGCAAAGATTGGGTTGTGTTATGCGGCGGTGATATGTTGTATGCAGGATGTTGTTTGCGTGCTCGTGTTGGGCCCAGCACCTTGCCGTTCCGAGTGCAAACGGTCCGCGAACAGGTCGTTTTACCTGAATCAGGACCGTAATCTGTGTCAGACGCAACAAAGCGTATCAAGGAAGAGAGACACGTCCGGAAACGACCGTGAGTCATGTTCAAAGAGCAAACTACAGCAATCATGCTTGGATCTCACGCAGTGTAACCAAAGCAAGAAACCAAGCCATACAACACACCAAAACCACGTTACTGAGCTTCGGAACCAAGCATGTAGCAATGTAGCACATCATAACAACAGCACCGGTATGTACAAACCGGATTCAAAACTTCACGTTCACGACTGGGTTGTGTTTTCACTTGCAACGCACCATCGGGTCACAGAGTCTGCTGTGCGGTTTTGTTTTAACGCTTTTAACCTTTGCAAGAAAAACCAACAAAACCCAAGAAAGACTGCAAAAGCTTCAGGACGTTTATTTTTTCTTTTTTCCTAGAAAGGTTTTTTCGAGCTGCCCAACGAAAAAAGCTTCTAGCCGTGGCCGCCACTGACTAGTCTACCTGACAGGCTACGGACTACGCTACTCGCGTCATGGCCGCAACGGCAGGCGACTCTGGCCGGCGGGGGCCTCGTGGTGGAGCAGGGTGTCCAGCGGCGGGCCTTCACAGGCTTCTGGTTGCAGTGGCTGCTCCCGAACGCCCAATGCCGTGCTCGCGACGGCTTGCTGCACCGCCACGGACAACAAGCCCCACCAAGGCCTCGCCCAGCCGGCTAACGCCGCTGCACGGAGTGCGGGCGGCGCATGGCGGCGCCCGGATCGCCCGGTGAGCTTTCAACCGGACGAGGTCTCGCACGAAAGCGCGCGCCTGGTCGTTCCAGCGCCCGCCCACCTCCGAGCCCAACACGACGAGCTGCTGCAACGATTCCCAGGGTAGTCCAACGTCCGCAGCACTAGGCCTACAGGCAGCGGCAAAGCTACGGATTTGTGTGCTTACAAATCGAGAAAACAAACAATCGAAGACTTCCTGGGTTCCTGCCTGTAAGCCATTGTCAACATCAGAAAGCCGGTTTTCCTTTCTCATTTGACGGTTCTCTTTTGAAGGGTATGGACTTTTCCGGCCCCAAACATCATAGCTCACGGCACCTTTTTGTGATTATCGTCATTTTAACATATCCAAACGATTGATCTATAGAGCCTTCCGAAAAAGCGACAAATTCCACAAACCTATCCAGGGAGCCACACATTCCCTTACCTTCGTTTTCGGCTCCGACTTTCGTACACGAACTAAGAGGGTTGCAGGCAAGAGGTTTGGCTGGGTTCGAAAGTTTGCATGCTATCGATCGCGGTGCAACATGCTGTCGGGTGCATGGCGCTGGTTCCCTCGCAGCGCCGCAAGCCAGTAGCAGGATCGACCACTTCCTCGCGCTTGCGGAGCCGGGCGGGCCGAGTCGCCTCCGGCTCCGGTGGGCGGGGGGGTTGGTTCACCGTAGCGCTGGTACGCTTGCGAGGAAGGACAGAAGTTTCAATCAGCAGCTACAGGTGGTTTGCGCGATTAGCGCTCGCGGGCGGAAAACGGGCAAGATGATCTCAAGATCGATATGTGGAATCTCGAGTCCGACCTCATCTACAGCACGCAACAGTGTGTTAGATGGCAACGAGAAAAACCCAATGGATCCCAACAGTAATGGAGTACGAGCCTGGGTTCGGGAGGTGGGGAGGGGGCCAGGCCTTTCGGTTCCAATCCTCGGGCATAGAGTTTTGAAGGCGGGGCAAGGCTTGCTGAAACGAGGGTTTGGGGCGGGTGAAGGAACAGCCCTGTCAGCGGCTGGTCGGACGCGAGAGCTCGTGTTGGACCTCGCTGATGCGGCGGGGCCCAGCTCTCGGCGGTGAATGGCTGTGGGCGGCCGCCGGCCCGGAGTAAATGAAAGGCCAACTTTTAGATTTTAGATTTTGGGCCCCTCAAGACCGTGCCTTCGGCAGTCGCACAAAGAAAAAATCAAAGTCAAACCGGTTGGGCCAGAATGAACGGCGAGTTAACGCCATGTGCTTTCAATTGGCTTGTCGTTTTCCTTGTTGCCGGATTGGTGCAAAGCGTGAGGCACGCAGTCCCTTGCGAGAACCTTGGCTGCAAGATTTTTTCAGTTTGTTTCCAGCCACAAAAGCAGCGACTACAATGTTACTGCAACTCGCCTAGCGTACTGCCTGCTGCGTTTGTTGCATCAGGTGGCAAGAATGTATTCGGGGAGCGGCGGGGGTCATGCGTGGCACGTCATGACCACATTGCCACCCGTTGGAGGATTGTCTGCTCAATCGAGCAGTTCGATCCACGCATGCTGATGAAGTCGCCTGGTCGACCACAGCCCCCTGGCTATCGCTGAAGCAATGCACGAAAGGATCCTAGCGAATGAAAAGGAGTTTCCTGCGTTTTTCATGTTCGTTCAGCGTGGCAGGGCCGCCCCCATCCTTTGCAAAGAGCTTTGGCTGCAGAGAATCAAACAACAGTTTTCGCTAGCAACATGTCGGAGATGCCGCAGTGGATACGACGGTTGGCGCACACTTCGTTTTTTCCCATGACACTTTGAGTCCTAGTAGCTTAGCAGGTGTACGAGAAGGTGAATATCGAGAACACCTACAGTTTCTTGGCTTACTTGCATGCGATGTCATGTCGACCGTTGTTAGACCAACCATGAGCTTAGCAGAATTGTTGTCAAGGTGATCATCTGGTGTCGCGCTCAAACTGGATTCCTGTGAGGCGTTTGAATGCAATTGCCGAAGTGTTTGACCACGAGTTTTCTTTTTGACGGATCTTGCTGTTCATGGAATGGGTTGGGGATGCGCCTTTAATGCCGATCGTGTGAGCTCTGCACAGACAAGCAAGCGCTAGGTTGCACGGTGCCGAAAGCATTTGCTGCAGGGATGCCATGGTGGCATTCACAGTGACGCGGGGCGGCGAGTACTTGATCGTTGCAGAGCTGCCCACCGGCACCAGCCATGTGGAGAGGACTTTGCTGAAAGCTTGTGCTTGCCACAACTCCTTCTGCAAACCTGTCGCGAGCAAATGTTTCGCACGAGCACGCGGCATACAAGTGGGGAATGTCCACGCTGCCACACCTTGTGCTGCCTTGACGTGTAAGTCGTACATAGCAATGCACCCTGGCCTTTGGTTCAGTTCATGATTTTGGTTTCTGCGTCAGGATGATCTTCAGGCCTGGTCCGAACGTACAAAGACACTCTAATTAAATTACTCTAGCCTAACTCAGTGTGCATTGCATGCCCTGGTGGAACGGTGCATGACTGCCGTGGCCGTTGCGGAAGGTGTTATGCCTCACAGCCGTACGTCACGGTCGCCGCCCATAAGATGTCCAGGAAGCACAGGCCATGCCGAAGCCACAGGGTTGGTGCCCACCAAAAGATACGCATGGGCATTTGCAACTTCAGGCTTGTCGAATCGAGAGGCCTGGCTGGCAAGATAGCTTGTAACCTTGGTCGGAGCGTGTTGTGGAGAATTTCGCAGCAGACTCGCAAACGATATCCATCAGTTTTGCTTCAAGGGTTCTTCGTTCACCAACGAGCTGTTTTGACCATAGTGCGGCTGCTTTGTTTGATGCCACATCATGGAAAGACAAGCCAGCCGTTGTCAATGCAGCAGATTTCCTGCACTGTTGCAGGGACTTCTGCTGCTTGTTTTGCAATTGTTGCTGACGGCAACATCTAGCCTTTGGCAATAGCTGCAGCTGCTGTTCTAAGTTTACTCTGGTCCTCCTCCTCCTCCTTCTCCTTCTGCTGCTACTACTACTAGCACCAATCCGAGAACAAAGAACTACTACTGCTACTACCACCACTACTACTTACCGCCACTCCTACTACTACTACTACTACTACTACTACTACTACTACTACTACTACTACTACTACTACTACTACTACTACTACTACCGCTACTTGTGCTACTTCTACTTCGAGCAGCACTACTAGCATTGTCACTGCTGCTACTACTACGATGAAGACTTCCACTGCGATGACTGCCACTGCAATTTCCGCCAACGCTACTACTGCTCCCCTGGCTGCCAGTTCCAGTGTTCTCGTACTGGCGAGTATCCTCCTCACCATTGCTGCCGGACCGAGCCTGGCAAGGGTTCAGCCAAGGAGCTTTGCCCGGTGCATCGCGACTTTCCATGGTTGGTTTGATGCAGCCGGATAGCTTGGACAAAGATCAGCCGGTCATTGCCCAAGGATGCAATGGTTTACAAACTATTGCTGTTGTAGCGCCAAAGCATGAGGTTCTTATGAGTCGGACATGACAGGACATAGAACAACAACAGCACAAAATCTTGGCATTTCGCAGCACAAGACGGTGCTATTGATCTAGCATCGTTTACAAGTTTACAGGCGCAGCTGCCAATTTGTGACATGTTTTTGATGCTTACCAGGTTTGTTGAGCTGTGGTTTCAGGTGCAGATTGATTGGGAATACGACGCCATGCGAAAGCCGGAATTTGCCACTTTGCTCTAGCGAGTTTCAGGAATAGTGCGTGATAAGCTGCAATGGTATGTATTCTCCACACTGGCTCAGGACCTGGAGACTGGATGGAGTGCGCTAGTGAAGGAGGTGAACCAAGATTGCGCTGTTATGTGAAGCACGCTCTGTACCGAAGGGCAGATCCGCATGCGCTTCGCATGCGTGTGCCTAGTGCGCAACAGACAAGTGACCACATTTGTTTTTGTTCATATTGAGCTTCTCGTCCGCAGATCCTTGCCGCGCGCCTGCAGAATGCCTGGTATCGTTTCACAGCCCTGCACGCAGCGCAGATCGGAAGAAGAAGCGTGTTTAGGGTTTAGGGGGTAGGGTTGCAGGGAATCGCTGTTTGTATCAAAGAGAAAAAGAAACCCGTGGGCCTAGCAATGGCTGCTGGCCGGTGCTCCGCACAGTCCTATGCAGTCCTGCGAGCTATTCCCAACCAGGATTTTGTTTGCAAAGTTTCCTCAGGAGCCTCCGTGCGCCACTGCCAAAGTTGCTAAAGCCGCTTGTGCTGCTGCACTGCAAATGATAGCCAGTGTCCCATCCTTGTGCCCATGGCTTCTTGCATCGTGGCATACTCGGTCATGGCAGTTCGACTAAAGTGCGCCTAAAGACTCACAACACCTGGGATTTTGTCACGATTGCAGACATGCACCAGAGTCCAGCGACGACAGACTCTTCACCGGTCATGTCAGCATCGCTAAGCGCAGTGCAATCGTTGTCATTCGTTGTCGTCGCCCACAAGCCGTAGAAATCAATCCTTATGCTCGCGGTATTCTCCCTGCTGTTTGTATGAATTTTGTATGCTATTCAGCGTCGTCGGAACTCCTCCCAGTCTCAGTCTGAGCCCTCAGCGTCACGACCCAAGGCCCCGGACTCGGGCACGGCCAGATCGAGCTGCGGTTGAAAAGGCTTACTTGTAGCGGGGTGGATTTCCTCTAAGGCTTGGCAGCTCTTTGCAGCTTGAGGGATGGAGGTTTGCACTGCGTTCCTGAGGGCCTCGGCTTGTCATGGTCTTAACAGTAAGTTGTAGAGCCACGGTGCCAAGCTTATTCACAATGACACGGACCAGTGCAGATGCAAAAGCGCGGTTGGCAGGGCATGGTGTTCATACATTTTAAATCGCGCTTTGCGTGTAGACAAGTACATGTCCTTCGAGTCTAGCTACGGAAGTCCTCGAATGGACAACCCGACGAGCGAGTTGCAACGCTTTAGTAGGAGTCGCAAGCATCATGCACAACATGAACCAGGCTTGCAAGAAACAAATGATACCCCGAGCTGGGGATGATGTTTGGTGCAAAGATTACATATACAGAAGCGAGTGCCAAGCAGATCCGTCAACCAGCTAATTGCCAGAACTGTCGCGCAGTGGTTGGACATCGGGGGCGCTGTGTTAGAACCAGAACGACTCGCAGTTTTGGTTCTTTTTTCCAGCGACCCTTACGTGACTTACCTGAAATCCGAAAGCCTGGAAAGCCCTAAATCCAGGAAGACCCCCTCCCCCACCCCTGAACCGCTCGTGCCTCTCACAGTTGGCTCGAGCAATGCCCCCAAAGCCTTCTTTCCTGGACATGCACCACTTCGAGGCCCTTTTAGAACGATTCCTTGCATGTGGTTCGTGATCAGGGGCGGAGTCAACCTTCAGCCTCACACATTTCCACAATGTGCAACAACATGCTCCCACCTCTCCACTTGCAAGTCAATCACCATTCCACGAAACACTCTGCAACACGTAGTGTAGACAAGGCAGTTTTGGCGGAGTGCGAGAGGATAAGTACTGTTACATCCCCCAAGTCCAATCGATAGGACCTTCCTTTCTCGGAGGCCCCGTTGCTGATACATGATGCCGGGTGACCTTCAGCCGCATCCGCAACCACCCGGATCCGGAACATCTCTGGCCCGCTACATGGGAAAAGTCAGCCCTGAAACGCCTGATAGTTTCAGTCTGCCTTCACGTCCACATTCCTCCCCAAACTTGTTTTGCATGGAGAGCTCATGTTCTACCGAAGGGAGCCTAGGGCCTATAATATAATGTCCACACCGATCTCAGATGTGTACCGCCTGGGCCCTGGCCAACAGCACGATTCCATCCTTCGGAAGGCACCGCCCCGGATAGCTGCTCAGCCCGGCGAGGACGTAGCCGATTGGGGATCTCGTATGCTGACCCTTTCGCTGAGAGAAGTTGCAGTCCTCTTTTGGGATCCTGTTTGTGGACTCCATGGTATTTGCCTGCTGCCTTCTGTCGTCATGCTTCCTGCTGCATCCATCCTGAGGGTTCTCGGCCTTTGAGCGAAGACGAGTCAGGCGAGTCCAGTGCAGCATACTGCTGCAGACTGCTATTCGCAACCGGGAAGGGAGGCGTGTCAGCATCCTCAGCAGCACCATGTTGTTGAATGGAATGCTGAGCCAAAGAAATGAAGGGTATGAAACTTTTTTGGGCGGGGCTGGCTGGGATGTTCTACCGGGAGATTCATAGAGAGCATGCTTCACCAACAAAGGAACTCCCTCTCAGGAGAGCCGGACTTTGGATATAGGACAGCAGTGAGATCGACTGACAGAGACAGATAGGTTGCAGTCGAGATCCGAACCCATATCTTGCAGGGGTACACATGGGAGGGCGTGCCTGGCAGGAGCAGAGCAGCTTGCCACCTGTCTTCCGGGGCAGTGAGGCACCAGCCCATGGAAGGTTTTGGACACCAGGGTCGCTTGGGGCTTGCCGTCCTTTCTGAACTGCTTCTGCTAGGAGTTCTGTACCGATTGGCAGCAGGCTGGAGAGGCATTTGCAGCAGTGCTTTCACCACGGATCCTGTACGACAAGCCCACTGCTCGTTTACTCTGGAATATCTTCGGCACCGCACATGGCTCGCACCTCTTGGCTTCACCGGTTTTACCCACAGACAACAGCTTTTGAGAGCTTCTTGTTAGGCTTCGGGATGGTGGACTTGTTGATGCCTGGGTGGCTCGTATAAAATGAACATCCGCTTTATGTTGATGGCACCGGTGGCCATGCTAGCCCTGCGTCTAGAGCGTGGTAATAGAAGGAAGCTCATACGCAACTTATCTAAAAGACCACGTGGGCTTGAAGCCCCGGTGTACAAGAAAGAGATCCTCAACAGAACCGACTTCGGACAGGAGGAGCTGCAGTTGGAAGAGGTTCGGCTCTCAGGGGCATATCTACAGGCGCAGTGTGCAAGGTGTATTGGGTGCACGCGATTAGAGATGCCAGCTACATGCTTTGTTGGAGACCCGTCAAGGGGGCGTATATACGGTATGTTTAGTTGCGGCATGCAGCTTCCATCTTCAGCATGAGTCGTCACAGCGAAAGGCGGACAACGTTAGAAATGCGCTCGATTCAGTCTTGCTAGTTTGCAGCGCGTCGTATTCTACTGCGAAAACTGCGAACTCCGGCGCAAGCTTCAAGCTTTGCATGTCGTCAAATGTCGTGCGTGCCGCCCATAGCCCAGTTGCAAGCGATGTGGAGCACTTTCGAGCCAGAGCAGACCCCGGGTTCAGGTGCAATCCTGCGGCAGCTCAGTCGCCAGATGGCCAGGTGCGGACGAGGCAACTGTGCAGCCAAAGGTGACAGAGGCACATGCAATCATGCAATGCTGTAGGCATGCTACCCTGACTCAGCAGGGCTTGGTGTGGAGCAAGCGTTTGTGGACAAGCATGACAGAGGTTGATACTGTACTCTGTGATTGTCGGGAAGCATAGTTGGGGGAACAGCCCTGAAGGCATCAGAGCCGTCTGCAAAGCTCACACCGGTGGCTCAGGTGGGCATCTGGTCAAATTGCGACGCCCGACATTACATGCGAGTTTTCAACAGAGCCATCAATTCTTGCGTTCAGCCCATTCGAGCACCAGTTTCGCATAGTCCTTTGGTCTCCCTTGCCCGCGTCGTCACCGTGAAGACCAAAAGCCTTACGATGCACGCACCTGGCGCGTGTCGCACCTTCAATCCGGCAAATAGTTTGGTGGTGTTGAATCAGTCCTAAACACTGCTTTCCGTTTGTGCACCCTTTGCATTTTGCAGTACTGTAATGTATGCATGAGTACGTATGTATGAATGTATATTTATGTATCCGTTTATGACTGTAGCAATGCCTGATGCATGCTTGTTCGCTCGTGCAACATATCCATGCGTACATGCCTGCATTACTTCAGCCCTACCTACCTACCTACCTACCTACCTACCTACAACATACATAATTTACATAATTGCATTGGTATGTACTAGAACTTTCGTTTCATAGGGTCAGCCAGCAATACCCATGCGAGCCTCGAGGCAGAACCCCCGACCGAACGCCAAGCGACAATAGTTAGAAAGAAAGGGTTAAGGGCCCCGCAGCCCTGTCTGTGTGAGAATCCACGCTCTCATTTGAAGGCAGGGCCACTTCTCAGGGCGCCCTTGACCGGTTCAGAGAAGGAGGGAGCTGTTGGAAGTCCCTGTCGCACAGTAGAACGCCGTTGCCTCCATTTAACGCTGGTGTCGCTTGATGACATTGGCACCGTACATGTAGTGGATGCCGAAACTCCTAGTAGCACCGGCTGCTGGCGTAAGCTTGAACTGTAAACGTTTCGCATCGCCAGGCAGATAGATAAATCGGCTCGTCGGTCGATGGGTCGGCTGGGCTAGCAGCTGATAATCAGATGATGTGTCCGTGCAGTTATGGTGAGCTTTTGGGTTGATTGCTTGAGGGAGGGGCTTGATTTCACACGCGTTGCGAGGAGTCGCAAGAAGATGATGCACTTCAGGAGACTACATCGCAGGACCGGACCGCCGTCAATGAAATCCAGAGTGACCAGTGCAGATAATGTCGGTGCAACACCAGAGTCACACACACACACACATCTTAATGCAAGCCTTTGGCCAATCCAGCCCTACTTATTCCAAAGGTCTCTGCCATGAGCCATAAACACAAACATTTACATCCTTCTTATGTTGCTTAGTCGGTGTTATTCGCCGGCACCTCGTCTCATATCACCTGTCCGTGTCATTGCATACATGCTTGGCCTGGCATCTGAAGTCATGACTCAGTTCATCAAGAGACTACGGCTCTGAACCCGGTACCATTGCAGCCGAATGCAGGTGGGCGGGTAGAGTCCCGCTAGACTCTCGTCACGAAAAGATTTTAAGCTTCGCGAGGATGCAACATGATTGCAGAGTTGTGGCACTGGTGTTACAAAGCTTTGTCCTTGGGATACTCTGCTCCTGCGCTGTGGCAGAATGGGCTGGACGAGCTCCTTCCAGACTTGGACGTAGACAACACCATCAGCTTCGCTGACAAGAAGGCCGCGCCCTCCTTTCTGCTGCATGACTTGGCTATAATAACCTCTGTGCAAGCCTCTCAGCCTTGGGTGGGGTCGGCAAACCCAGAGTCAGCTCAGAGGTCTCAGGACGCGGAGTACAAAACAGCTTCCGCTCTTCCTTGGACGAAAGGGCCGTGCTTACACGAATCGTACATATTCATGCTCGCAATCCAAACCGCAACACAGCCGGCCCTTGCTCAAGCCGAGTCTCCGGGTTTCCTGCAGGAGCTCGGGTCGCAAGCAGCAATCGCACCTGCGAAAGTCTGCGAGGCCGGAGAAAACCAGGACGCGCAATAAGCTCCATGTCTCAGCTTGACTTTGCACCGTGCTCTGACTTCCTAGAGTCGGCTGGAGTCTCCTCGTACGTGCTTCGAGAGAACCACTCCGGAAGAGTCAAAGTCGACACCGCGACTGCGTTTTTCGGGCTTGGTGGCCGCTGAGAGTTGCAATCATTTGTTCTAGGTATGTTGAGTATGATTCATGGACACTCCCGGCACATAGGAGCAGGGAGCTTATGGGCTCTTGCGGCCTGCAACTGGTGATTCGAAGAAGAAGGGTTAATTACGCAGCGCATGTTGGGCTCCAGCTCCCAGGCTGCGGTCCTGCTTGCAGTTTGCAAAAAGTCAGGGCGACTGATTGGCCAGGAGACTCTGTTTGCAAAGCCGCCAAGCAAAGTCGAAGAGGTCAAGGATGGCAAGGACGCCGTAGCTTGAGTTTTAAGGCTTCGGATTCTATTTCTTTCTGCTAGCCACGTGAGGACCTGCCACCGGCCATCCTGATGTCCCTAGCACCAATGCCTGGTGTCAAAACCCCCGTGGAGGCGAAGCTGAAGGCGCCACGGCTGTGAAACAAAAAGGTTGGAGCCGTGCACGGCAGGGGATGCCTTCTCGGACACTCCTTGATTGGTCCGGCTTTCAGCGTATGCTAACGCTTCAGGAATGTTGGGACTGGGACTTGAGGGGTTCGTGAAGCGGGTACGCCAGCTGGCTGCCCTGCTGGCAAGGAGCCCGACGCCGTGGCTGAGAGCAAGCCGACCGAAGTCAGCAGCCTCGCCCGGACGGACCTCGCTGCGGATGACATCCGAGCCACCAACTCAGCCCTTGCAGAAATGATTTCACACTAAATACAGCAAAGTCATTCTCCTCAGTTCTGCTTGACCTGCATGAACTCGAGCAGGCAGCAAGGTGAGGCATGTGCTTCAAGCATGAGCCGAAGCACAAGGATTGGTTGGCAGAGAGTGCGAGCATTCCGGAGAGGTAGGGAGGCATCTCGGAAAGAAAGCGGGAAGGAGATAGAATGAGACCCATGCCTCGAGAGAGAGAGAGAGAGCGAGGTAGAGACATAGAGCGATCGAGCGAGTGAGACTGCAACCGCAAGGGGCTGTACATTGGCCAAGGCGATAGTGAAAGCAGAAGTCGCCTCCGAGCTAGCATCGGTCTTCGACAGGATTGCAGCTCGGCTTTCGTGATGCTTTGAACCAGCACAGTACGCAGATGTTCAGAGAGCCAGCTTGGCGCAGTTGCGAAATCTCCACTAGTACCTGTGGCCAAAGCCAAGGCTGAGCCTGTAGCTCTCAGAATGACACACAAGCGACGAAGCAAGTCTGGAGCTGCGCCAGGCAGCGACAGACGCATAAAGATATATCTAAGGACAGTTTGAAGAAGTCCTGTGATGCACTCGCCGAGGACGCTCATTTGCTTCTGCTCTTGCTGATCTGTTGGTGCCCAGCGGCTAAGTAGCTAAATATAGGTGTAATTGAAGCAGTTTGGATGTGGCCATGAGTCCCAACAAGTCTGTTTTCGCACCGGGGAACAAGCGGGGTTGAATCGGTGCCCCTGCCACCGCCACACCCACGGCTACTGCTACTGCTGCAGTGAGTGTGCTCCTCCAGCTGCTCCTGTTCCTTCCGCTTCTACTCGCAGTGCTACTCGTTCCCTACTAATGCTGTTGCTGTTCCTCTCTGGACAGTGCAGACGACCTTCCCAGCCCATTATAGTATAGTACTATTATAGTATAGGCCTAAGGGTATTCATGGGTTTTCTGCTTGGGAAATTTTCGAAAGCCGCTCCCTAGGCCTGCAAAAAATGCCAGGAGCTGTCGCGGATGAAGGGCTCCGCAGCTGAGGCAACCCATGAATTTACCCTATGGGGCCTATACTATAATGGGGTACTATACTATAATGGTACTATACTATAATGGTACTATACTATAATGGTACTATACTACAATGGTACCATACTATAACAATACTGTACTATAATAATACTATACTATAATAATACTATACTATAATAATACTATACTATTACAATACTATACTATAGTAATCTTTGGGTCTCACGGTGCAGTTGAGGATGCCAGCTTCTGTTAGATGTTTGGGATGTTGGTCGAGCGACTCACGACGGACCACGAATGAGCTTGTGATGAGGGTTCAGGCTGAAGCCTTCGGATCTTAGGGCGGCACGCAGCCTTGACGGGAAGAGGGCTCCTTGATAGGACAAGGCGTGCTGCAGCTAAAATTTTAGCTGCAGGGCACATGTCGCTGTGCCGTCATCAGGTCAGGCTGAACGAAAGGAAGCAGGGTCAAAGGGCAGCACAAGATCAGCCAATAGACTTCCGTCTAATCACTGATTCCGCGTGGCTTGCCTCCGAGACCTGTGATGTTGAACCGCAGTCTATGGAGAATCCTCTCGCCTGGTTTCGCCTGCCGTGTAGCTTGCGTTCCTTGCAAGCCTTGATGCCCTAGATCCTTGCGGCTAGTCGAACCGAAAGCCCGATAACACCAGGCAACATTTTGTTTCGAAACCTCGCTTCGAGTCGCCAGGAGCTTGAGAAGCTGAGGGCCCGGATCTCCGAAGCTCCTGCAGCTGCCAAGCACTCGACGGAGGTCGGAGCTGCGATGTTTGGGAGTTTTCGTTGTCCATCCGCTTAAGCAGCATGCAGCGTCTGTGCGTCGCGGCATACAGTAGCTACATTCACACAGCACACACCCTACTGGATTGAATCTGCGAGGTTTGTCGCTGTTTCAAAAACGAGGTTGATCCGGCGCTTGATGCAGCTTCGACTTTGGTTTGGGATGCTTCAGGGCAAGGTTTCACCAGGTTTCGCAGGTGGATGTATTCTATGATTTTGCCTGGGTAAAGTTCATAGTTCATTCAATTTTCAAGCGTTTACGGCTGAGCAGAAACGGTTTCAATGCATAGTCAACCACTGCCATAGATCCAGCATGCAGGGCAGTTTCCGGCCATTGTCGAAGTACCCCGAACTTGGTCCCAAAACCGCAGACCACTAGCGCAAGGATGTGGAGGAGCTGCAGCGGTCTGTGAAGAAAGAGCTGTTCGATGTCCAACAGGCCAAGGGGCCTTCAATAACTTGAATGGTGGATAGCAGCCAGGAGTGGAGGCTCACGTTTCGGGGCGGTTGATGACGAAGGGTAGTTGATGACATGTACCATTGCACTCAGCTGCGTCAGGGCAGGCTAGCTGCGACATCGCAAGAGCTGCAGGTTCGAGGGGTTCTGTACCATTTTCTGCCACATGGGCCGGGTGGGTGGTGGGGACAGGATACAGCTGGCTCTCAAAATGCCATGTGCGGATGCTGACGGGCAAGACCATCTGCTTTGCTATGTCGGATTGCAAGGCTCACCAAGAGGATAGGTGGCGGGGGAGGTCTACGAGGTGGAGGTCATGATTAACTTCATTTATCATGTTCAGACCCGGAGTTGATGTTCATGAGGCTTCCCGGTGCAGGAATCATGCTCATGCAGGGGTGGATCGGGCTTTGGGCCTGGGGGGGGGTGGTATGCAGTGGATGGTTGCGGCAGTCCAGCACTGTTGGACGTTAAGCCCCCTTATGAACAAAGCAGGTGTTCAACAGTGAGCTCAAAGACTTGAGCGCGCTGCTGGAGGCCTGGCATCATTGTGCAGCTGTACTGCTCGCCAACATGCGCATGTACGTCATAGTATCCGATAGTGAAAGGCCCTTTAAGGCGCGTTCGGTTCCTGGCTTGCCGGCATAAGAATTTGACGTAAAGCGTCCTGAGTGTCGAAGCGGCTGCTGTCCAGACTATGACAATTCCTCGGAAGCTCTGGCCTTGGCGAGTCAGCCCATGAGTTTGCAGGACAGAGACGCAAAGTTTGAGGCGCTGGCTACTTGGCTGGAGGAGGTCTGGAATGAAATTGAGAGCATGCTTCTTGTCGGCTTAAGATGTTAACGATTGCCCAGCGGGGAGCTCATGTCACGAGACCGAGCCCAAGCACTGATGACGCATGGCAAAGCATGAGTACTGTCGAAGAAGTAGACGCAGAGCTAAGACACATGTGATTTATGTTGGGTGCAATCTCTGTACCATTGCAGTCAGTACGTAGGCATTTGCCATGTGGTTCGCGGCGCTTCTCTTGCATGGCTGCCTTCTGGCTCCATGGGTCTTTGTCATGCGTACAGTGGAGCCGTACATGGACGAGATCTTCCACGTGCCACAGGCTCAAAAATACTGCCAGGCAAAGTTTGCTGAATGGGATCCCAAGATCACCACGTTCCCTGGGCTTTACCTTTCAAGCTCTTTGGCGCGGGGGGCAGGCAACAGTGGCATGAGCTTCTGCAACAAAGACTTGCTGCGGCTTGACAACGTGGTCTTTGGCTTCGGGGTGAACCTCATCAGCTACAGACTGTTGCGGAGGAACTTGGATCCCAGCAAGGCAGCTGCTCAATCTTTGATGCTGTCCCTTTATCCCATTCACTTCTTCTACCAGCTTCTATACTACACTGATGTTGGCTCGCTTTTCTGGGTCTTGCTGGTCCAGGACCTGAAACTTCTTTTAACATGATTTCCGCAGCCCAAGCTCTGCAAAGACATCCCAGTGCGTACGAGCTGTTTCTATACGTCCCGTCGCCTGTAGATCTGTTCAGATAGACACGTCACTCCGCGCGTCCGACTTTCAAGGACCTCGTGACACCCGAAAGGGGTCAGGCATTGCCCACAGCCCGGCGAATTTGGATGGCGGCCGGCGCGGGTGCAGTGGCAGTGCTCTTTCGGCAAACGAGCCAAAGCTGAAGCGAGAACCCTGTTTTCCAAACTCTAGAGCGCGGCTGTTTGTCCTTTTGAGAAATTGAGTCTCCGGTCAAGGAATGCCGTTTGGCTCATGTTCAGCTTTGGGACTGCAGCCTTGCAGGACCTGCAGTCTTCAAAGTGGGGTGAGCTTAGGGGCGAGGACTTATCCTTCCTGAAGCTCGTGACCTTCGTCAAGGCCCTTCTGCTGGAGTCCAGAAGACTGCTCGGACGCCTCGGGATAATGTTGGTCCCAGTGGTTCTCTTCATCCTTTTCGTCGCCTACAACGGCTCCATTGTGGTCGGGGATCACTCGAACCACGAGGTTGCTCCGCATTGGGCCCAGCTTTGTTATCTCAGCGCGGCCGTCGCGGCGACCTTGTCAGTGGAGGACTCGGCCCTGTCTCCCAGGCTGGGCTAAGGGAGTTGAATCGCTAATGCTTCAAGTTTTTTTGGGAAAAACATGGAAAAACCAAATTCCTGAAACGCCAAGGTGGATGAGAAACTTCATAGAAGCCTGTTGCAAGAGCTTTAGCCGATTTCTTCTGTCAGCTCTGGCATTGGCCATGATGGTGGGTGTCGTGCACAGATACAGCCTTGCACATCCCTTTTTGCTGGCAGACAACCGACACTACACATTCTACTTGTGGAACCGATTTCTCAAGCGTCCCTGGCTAAGAGATATCCTCGCTCCGGCATACTTGTATGCAGCTTGGTATGTCTCCAAGCGGCTCAGCCAGGCTCAGTCCGGACTTTGGGTGTTAATTTGGTGGGTGGCTGCTTGTCTCACCTTGGTTCCTGCACCTTTGCTGGAGCCGCGCTACTGGACAACGGCCGTCATCATGGCACATTTGCACTTCTACGACCGCTCGTGGTGCAGCATAGTACTCCTCACGACGGCCTACCTGGTGGTGAACATTCTGACGTTGACTGTCTTTGCTTACAAACCGTTTGCATGGCCAAGTGGTGAGATCGCGCGCTTCATGTGGTAGAGCGCACCACTTCGCCCGCCTGCTTCTTGTTGACTTGAAGCATTCCCGCCCTCGGCAACTTACGCGGGGGGTGTGCTGACAAATCATGTCAACATGCGCACAGTAACATCAGCTTAGCCAATCTCGCAGACACCGACGACGAAGCAGGGATGAGCCCGCAGTAAATCTGGCTTTCTTGACCCCGTGCTGGATAAACGTCGCAGGGAGTACTAGGTAGGTGTGAGGGCAGGTCGCAGCATGTCACAGCCATTAGCGTGCAGATTCAAGTGCTCGATTGCCGCGTATGTTGATTGAGCGGTTAAGCTTCCTGGTTTGCTTTCAATGCACATAGACAACTCGGCTGCCGGCGCACAGTGGATGCCGCCATGGGAATAGCCTGGGAGTTTTCAATGTCCATCTAGTTATCTAGTTTCGACAGATCTATGGCTCAGAGATTCACGGTTTTAGTTTTTGTTGTGTTACCCGAAGCTTCTTTAATACACCAACCAAGGAGTCGGCTGATGCGCAACTCCAGCGAGAGCTGCAATCGGTGAGGCAGCTTGCAGCAGGGCTTAAGTGCTGGTTCTGTGAAGCATTTGGCAAGCGGAGGTCTGGCTTCACAGCGCTCAACATATTTTGATCTCTCCACAGTATAGTATTCGGTGTACACGTGGAAGCCTGCGAATGAATCTTATCAAAATGCTTCCATGCTGTTTCTTATTGCAAAGTGCGCTGAGAAATCCGAGCAGGTGTGTGCATCCCTCCGGCTTAGCCTGTAGAACGAAAGGATGCCTCCGCGAAGAGAGCCGTCGTGACGGTGATTTAACCCAAGACCTCTAAGCATTGCAGTTTCTTGTTGTGTTGCTTGCCACCCTGTTGCTGGCAGCCCCTCTGTCACAATCAATTATAACTTCCAACCTCGCTGCGCAAAATTCCACACGGAATCACCTGCAGAGAAAGGGTGAAGGGTCACCAAGCCCTGCCAAAGGAGGGAGGGACAACTTTAAATGCATCTCAAAACTACATTCCTAAGTTAAAACTCTGCAGCTCCAAACAATCGCATGCCCCAAAAGGGCCACATGAAAAACGAAATCCTCTTATGCCTACGGGACCTAGGCAGGCATGCAAGCATAGCTGATGACATCAACACAGGGCTCAATCAGAAGTCGGTTGGGTCTGACGAGCTTCCGGAAACCTAAGAAGATTGACATCTTCCTGTGCAGGGATGATACTGCTCTGCAGACGGCGACTCTCACTGACGAGGCATGTGAAAGTCTCCCGCGTTGCATCAGATGTAGTTGGGCAAATTCTCAGGCTCTCTGGCTTTCTTGCTGCAAGCGGGTGGGATTGAAGCCTGTTTTAGCGAAATTCCTGGCCGATGCTGCACAGAGACTCGAACATTTGGCGTAGGAAGGATCATCAGGATCGGGCAAAGGCTGGAGACCACGGGCAGAATAGTGGCAAACCCTGGTCAAAGTTCTCCTTTCTGGTCAGGCTGTGGGATTTTTGAGGCTTAATGTGGAGAAACCAGAGCCCGAAGGGAGTAGGTTGAAGCTTTGTTATGCAGGACAGTTCAGGGTGCTTTTTTGTTACCGGATTCATGAAATGGTGCAGCGACCACTGGATGGGGACTTGCTTGTGTCCATTTGTCAGCCTTGCTTATCCAGGTTGGTATTGCTTGGTCTGCTGCTGGGGAGTGTCAAACCGCATCCAGGCCCTGAGCTAAATTGGAAACCCAGCCCCTCCAAAGCCCAAAAGTACCGATCACAAGCCCGAACAAAAAGCAACGCCTTGAGACGGGCGCAGCGAACCCCAAACTATCCCAAGCCTGAAATCCGCCAGGACTTTAAAAACCTCAGCACCCTAAGCGAGTGTGCGAGTCGAAAGCTTGAAAGGCCTAAGCTCAATTTTTAAGACCCTAGGATCTCTTCAACTACTGTAAACAAGTGCCAGATCAAGAAGAGACCTTAAGCCGTGCCCAAAAATGGAGGCTCGCCACAAACCCTGAGAAATTGCCGAAACCAAAACAGTCGAAAACGCCCTCCAAGCTGCAATGTCCAAGCCCGACGACATTTGAGTCGAAAACCCTAAATCACAGGAGTGCGAGCGTGAGCATCGAAATCCTGGGAAAAACGAGCCCATAATAGTAACTACAGTAACAGGTACAGTAGCCCCCTGGGCCCGGACCGACGAAAACTACAGAAGCCTTTGGAGGTTTCGGGGCTCCAGTACGAAACCCAGAGCAGTAAGGAAACGCTTTCAAGACGCTCTGATGACACTCCTCAAACGCCGTCAGGTCATCCCTACGTTAACCAGGCTGACGTCAGCCCAACGGGTCTGGGATACCGCACAGAAGGAGGCCTGGAGGGGCCAGGAGCCACTGGCGGCCAAGAGCTGGTAAGTTCTAAGCTTGCTTGCCTTGGCCTCTTGAGCTTGCAGATGGGGAACATGTAGCCCCCGGACATTAACGGAAGTCAGACAGGGACTCTCGAACTGATTGATTTTATTTGGAATTGAATGCGCAACCAAATCATTTGTCTGTGCCGTGAAACTTGAATCAGGTTCAGAGGTTGACTTCTTGATGCCTTGAGTGCAATTCTTGATTTTAGGGGCTGTTCACCTTTAACCCGCTTTGGTCATACAGATCGGACCACACAAGCTGTACTGTTCTTGCCAGGTAGAAGCTCGGCTTCTTGGCATTGTTGAAGGTGCAGTTGGCAGTGTTCAACGCGGGGGTACGCAAAGTGAGCGGCGATGAAGATGTGAGAGAGAAGTGGAAGGAAGCCAGTGCCCTTCACTTGGCGATCTTGCGCACGCTTGTCCTCTTGGAGTTGAGGTATGGTATTCTGGGTATTTTTTTCGGCATGACTCAAGGAGCTGTCTGACGCATGCACACCTGCCTAAGGCCCTAAACCCAGAAGCCTCGAAGCCAAGGTTGAACGACTGTTTCGCCCGGCAGAAAAGTGATGCACTGTTTCTGAGCCTTTGGCACAGACTTTGCAGCGGACTTGTAGATGGGGTTCTTGCCGTTGACAATCCGTTGCTTTAGAAGTGCAAGGTCTCGGCAGCTGGAAAGCTAAACTGAGGGCGAGATTCCAATCAATGCAGAACGTAGACTGTCACCTGTTTTGTCGATGGATTCAGCTTCTCGAGGACTGGCACACACACGCATGTGAAGACAGACACACACCCCACGCTGTCATTGCATGGATGTGTCAATGCCTGACAGCTCCAGCCACAGGAGTGTGCACAGTTTTGTATTCCAAAACTGATCACGGTCCCGCTGACGAAGGAATGGGCGACTAAAGGACATGGAGGCAGGTTGGACCGGCTTGCTGGGTTGCTTCTGCAACTTGGCCAGCACATTCGAAGCCCAGACTGATCTGCACTCTCATGCATATCTAGAATCTAGCGCACATACATCTCGACATTTTGTCTTATCAGAAAATATGCCAGAGTGATAAGAGGTTCCAAGTTGCCTGACCAACACTGCCTCTGTGTGTGTGTGTACATATGCATGCATGTAGGTATGTATGTATGTATGTGCGATTCGTGTATGCACCATGCAGGTCTGGCGTATGTAAATGCGTGTATGAAAATTCTATAATGCATGCGTGCGTATTTGTATATGTATATGGATGGCAACATACATATACATACACACATATTATATATATATATATATACATATATATATATATATCTGTGTGTGTATGTATGTATGTATGTATGTATGTATACATACTATGTGTGGTTTCATAACATGTGCGCAACACGACAGTCAGATCTGTGTAAGAAGTGTACTAAAGGTAGGAAAAGAGCGAGGTGAAGATATACCGATGGATGCCTCTATGTGTGTGGCTGCCTACTTGTCTATCTGAAACTGCACATCCAGGCAAGCGGCGGAGGCCGAAAGAAGTGGCTTTCCGACCCAGCGAGTTCTCTGCCAAGGGGACTCAGGCAAGGGTGCTGAAATGGATGGACGGAGCGAAATGACGGGGTTTGTCCCCACAAGCTGTGCAGAAAGTCGAGATTTGTTTCGCCTTCAACTCCTGCTTTTGCAGCGTACGAACCAACTAACCAACTAGCCTTTTGTAAGAGGGTCGCTTGCATTGCCGAGCGCGAGTGCTAAAAGGAGGGTCGCAGTACGTGTAGGTGTTGCAAGATGTTGGACAACGGTGGCGCTTGTGGTTAAGAATTGGTCACAGTAGTCGCCTATCGGTTTTACTCAGCAGCCGCATCCTCTGAATGGATGTCCGAGTACACACCCCAAACCCGAAATTCGGCATGGAATGGCCGCTCCGTATGAGCTGCAGCGATGTGCCTACGTTTTACCACATGTTCGCCCTGCTCAGCCGCAGCCGCAGTCGATCCCCGTGGATCCAGAGCAACTTGCCGGGCATTGTTCGTTTGCAGCTTCCTGTCAGTTTGGCCTCAGCGATTACTGTAGGAGGTGGACAAGGTGTTCCAAGAACTCTCGGCCGTCTTTTGGGAGACGCCATCGTCGTGCTGGCCATCACCACAATCGTCATTAGCTGATCCTGGGGCCCTGTCTTGTCCCATAGAAGCCAAGCGACTACCGAAATGCAGGGCTACAGCAGAATGATCTGAGGCATCAAGGGTTCTCAAAATGCATCGACTGAGAGTGTGCTGGCTCGGGGATCCCTGCTAAGCAGACGAACCGTTTGACTTAGATTTAGGCTTTTGAGAAGTGTGCCCTCTGTTGGTTCCAGAGGTGTCCTCTCTGTGCCACCGGCATGTACCCCTGCCCAAATTTATCTTTTCATCACGGCTCGTTGTCATCCAAGCCTCGCACGCCGGCTGAGGCCGCTTGTTGAGGATCACCTGAATAGCAGCAAGACGACCTTCCCGATGAAAGCATCTCGATGACCTTCTAACAATCCCAAACCACTCGGCTCCTGAGGCATTCGGTGACTTTGGATGCTGATTAGTGACTAATGTGATGGTCTTACTGGGGGACTTGCGGGACTCGGCCACACAAGATGAGAGGCTCAAAACTC